CGGTATATATTTGCTCATTTTGCAACTGTTTTGTACGATATACAGTATGGTTGAAAACTTTTTTTTGGAAACGGCCGAAAATTCATGCGCGCACGGATGTCATCCATACAATCAAATCAACATGGCCTTAGGTACAAGTAGCTTGGCTGACACTTATCTGACATCTTCGGCTTATTTTTCGGCGTCGAGGCCTAACCCCCCGCGCCTTTTTTCATACTGCTAGATTTTTATAGTTTATACGTCTTTCTGGCGGTCCGTGCGTTTTCATACTCTCCAAGCAGAGGTTTGGGTTTTGGGGGGGATTTTTAGCGTGTTTTTAGTTTTTTTTTATCGGGCGTTCTCTTTTGCACTGAATTTTGCACTGCATTTACATAAGTACCTGTGAAGCAATGTAAATCAAATCAAATCAAAACCCTACAGGGCTTGATACAATTGCAAATAATTTCTCTTCAAAACACAAAGGATAGCATTTACATTGTACCTCTCATCACAGGTCAGATGCATCACAAAGCTTTCCGTCTATTCAACATGCAAAACGACACATTCTTTCCCTTTTTCTCACTCCGTTGCCAAATTATTGTAGCCTATGTACTAACTAAGCCTGTTGTCTCTCTACACAATGTGTCGCTACCGGGGGCTAATTGCCTGAAAAAAGGGTAACCTCCCAGATCATCCAACGGCTATCTAGCGGCCCAGACGGTAACTGTTGCCTTCATGAAATATGGAAATGTGTGTGTGTGTGTGTGTGCGTGCGTGCGTGCGCGTGTGTTTCCGCAGCTGACAGACCTCGTATTTTGCAGCAATATACTGCCCCAATTTTAGTTGTCGTCCAAGATATCGACATTTTAGTAGTACAAATGATTATTGCAAATGCACAAAAATACAACATACGTAAATATGTAACGTTATATATACACCCCAACATCTGCTTGGTACTTTTACATAGCAGCTGGTACTGGCTGACACGGAGTGGAAACCGGGCTGGCTCACGACCAAGAATTCTTTATGTGTTACCACAACTTAGAGAAAGGGTCACTTGGTCAAAGTTGTTCACCTTATGACACACTTTGCCACTTCCTCTAGGCGCAGCGTGATATATGTTGATTCATCCAAGAAGCTTTAAATTCAATTTGATTTTAACCTCCTTGATTCATCCAAATATTAAAAGTCATCTATAGTTTTGTTCGTAGGTCAATTCTTTTGTACCAACGTGTCGAGTGTCTGTATGTATGTTTAGTTATAGACCTTAGGAAAGTCTCTGTACCTTTGTTGTGTCAATTAAGTTCTCATGTTTATAATGTAGAACTTTATTGACACAACAAAAAGTACAGCGACTCTTGTTTATATGTTTTTACAGAAGCCCACACCGACCCTAATGGAAATGTGTTGTTTCGGTCTTTTTTTTTTTCTTTTGTGTGTGAGTG